CTGACCAGAGCCTGGTCACGGAAATGCTGATGGAAACGCTCCAGGTTCACCTGCCAGTAAATGCCATCATCCGGGGGAGCCTGCGGGAAAATGGACAAAAAATGAGGGGAAATGGGCAGGAAAAGAGATGGAAATGGGGCAGGAAAATGGGGGAGAAGAGAGGGAAATGGGGCAGGAAAATAGGGAGAAATGGGGCAGGGAAAATAGTGGGGAAAGAGATGGAAATGGGGCAGGAGAGCAGGGGGAAATGGGGCAGGAAAATGGGGGAAAAGAGAGGGAAATGGGGCAGGAAAAGAGGGAAAAAAGAGGGAAATGGAGCAGGAAAACAGAAGGAAATGGGACAGGAAAACAGAAGGAAATGGGACAGGAAAAGAGAGGGAAAAAAGAGGGAAATAGGGCAGGAAAAGAGATGGAAATGAGCAAGAAATTAGGGGGAAAAGAGAGGGAAATGGGGCAGGAAAAGAGGGAAAAAAGAGGGAAATAGGGCAGGAAAAGAGAAGGAAATGGGGCAGGAAAAGAGAGGGGAAAAAAGAGGGAAATAGGGCAGGAAAATAGGGAGAAATGGGGCAGGAAAATGGGGGAAAAGAGGGGGAAATAGGGCAGGAAAATGGGGGAAAAGAGGGGAAAATGGGGCAGGAAAAGAGAAGGAAAAGGGGCAGGAAAAGAGAAGGAAATGGGGCAGGAAAAGAGAGGGAAATGGGGCAGGAAAATGGGGGAAAAGAGAAGGAAATGGGGCAGGAAAAGAAAGGGAAAAGGGGCAGGAAAAGAGAAGGAAAAGGGGCAGGAAAAGAGAAGGAAATGGGCAAGAAAATAGGGGGAAATGGGGCAGGAAAATGGGGGAAAAAAGAGGGAAATAGGGCAGGAAAATAGGGAGAAATGGGGCAGGAAAATAGTGGGAAAAGAGAGGGAAATGGGGCAGGAAAATGGGGGAAAAGAGAGGGAAATGGGGCAGGAAAATGGGGGAAAAGAGAGGGAAATGGGGTAGGAAAAGAGAGGGAAAAAAGAGGGAAATAGGGCAGGAAAAGAGAAGGAAATGGGGCAGGAAAATAGGGAGAAATGGGGCAGGAAAATAGGGGAAAAGAGGGGGAAATGGGGCAGGAAAATAGTGGGGAAAGAGAGGGAAATGGGCAGGAAAAGAGAGGGAAATGGGGTAGGAAAAGAGAAGGAAATGGGCAAGAAAATAGGGGGAAAAGAGAGGGAAATGGGGCAGGAAAACAGGGGGAAATGGGGCAGGAAAATAGGGGAAAATAGGGGGAAATGGGGCAGGAAAATAGGGAAATGGGGCAGGAAAATAGGGGAAAATAGGGGGAAATGGGGCAGGAAAATGGGGGAAAAGAGAGGGAAATAGGGCAGGAAAAGAGAGGAAAAAAGAGGGAAATGGGGCAGGAAAATAGGGAGAAATGGGGCAGGAAAATAGGGGCAGGAAGCTAAGGAACAGCAGCCACAAAACTGAGAGATGGCAGCCAAGAAAACGAGGAAAAAGAGGCTCAAAAAATGAGGAAGAAGCCACAAGAAATGAGGAAAAGGAACCAGGAAAAATGAGGAAGAAGAGCCATGAAAAACGAGGAAGAAGCCATAAAAAATGAGGAAAAGGAGCCATGAAAAAATGATAAAAAAGAGCCAGAAAAACCCAAATTCCTGGTTTGCTCAGAAATGTTTGGGAATATGGATCTCAGCACTGCCAGTACCTCTGAGCTTCCTCCCTCCTGCTTCTGCCTTTTGGCTTTGTGCTCTCCCTCCTCTTCCTCGTCACACGAGCGTCTCCTCTTCCCTTTCCCTGGCAACCCCAAAAATTATATAAATCATATATAAATTGTATATAAAGA